GCCGCGGTCATTGCCGTGATAATTGCGACGATGATATCCGTACTCTTGCAATTGATAAGCCAGTGGGGTCAAGACCACGGCTGCCACATCACTCACACCGACCCATGGCCACACGACGAGGCGCACGATCATGGACACGAGGGTAGCTCCCAACAAGACTTGAGTCTGCGGTTGACGAGTAAACTGTGCCATGGCGTCGTGCCAATTCGATGGGACGGTAAAGTCGACGTGATGTTCTTGTTTCAATGCCACGGCGAGATCTTCATCGTGTCGGATCAGTTCCTTCTCGTGGAAGAGGATGCGACCAGATTGTTCCTGAAACCCGTCGGACAAGACTTGTAGTCGGTGCCACCAATCGTTGTCATCATCATCGCCATCATCATCACCATTGCCAGGGCTACTATTCTGGGTTGTAATGTCATCCAAAACGGAAGAGGCTCTTAGTAGGGAGGAAGCAGAGGACCGTTGGGACAAGGAAAGAGCCGTGGAAGAGGATGGGGGAAGAGAAGAAGAAAAGGCAGAGGCTCCATCCGCAAGGAGAAGAAGCGAGAGAAGGGAGGGAACTATCATCATCGTCATCATTGCTCGTGTTACTTGACTCGACGTACTTTGCTTGTCTTTGATCACAGCAGCAACGCACCTCTGATCTAAAATGAGAACGCCAGAATAGGTTGACGCCTCTTGCTGCTGGCTGCACCCGGTACCGGTAGCAATCAGAATGATGCTCGGGCTTCATGGGAAAGAGTTGACGAAGATATATTCGAAGCGACCGGTAAAAGTGAGAAGATCCCAAAATGTGAGTGGATGAGAAGGGAAGTGGCAGGTCCGAAAAAATGACCCGTGCAGTGTAATGGTGGTTCATTTACCTTGGAGCACGTTCAGATTGCAGGGGAAACAAACCGGGTTGAGTCATAATGCTCCTTCACCATTCCAAAACACCAATTGTAAAGTTACTCCACAGTGGGAAAACCTGTTGGTGACCTGCATGACCTGCATTGTAATCCATGTTCGAACGTTCGAACACCATGTTTGTGGGCAGAGCTTTCCGAACACTGTAAACCGAAAAGGCACCGTCCCACAAATAGGACTCGACTCGACTCTCCACGCGCTCAAAGAGGCTGGCCTTGCCCGAGCCGGAAAAGGCATCATCTTTGGGAGTCACTGCTGTAGCTCATGTATGTATGTGTTGGCTACGCTACAGGACCTAGCTAGTTGGGGTTTCTACAACACCTCAGTAATCTGTCCTGGTCTTGCATTCATATTTTCCGAAGCCAGAGACCTCGAGCCAACACTGAATTGGCCCGACCGACCTTGCCCGTGCAGCCCAGTTCCAAGGCAGTGCCACATCTATATATATTTGGCTGGTTGAGCTTCCTGGTCTTGTGTTGTGTATACGGTACCAGCTGCTACGATAGCAGTTTGCAGGGTTGTAGACGTACCACGTGTTTCTTCTTTACAGCAGGTCCGGTTTGTGGGCGACTGGCTGCATGGTTTAGGAGTGAGCGACGTCGAGTGAGGCTCACATTTTCAACGTCAACAGGCCCCACAATAGCTATAGCTAGCTAGAGGCTAATCAACAACATGCACTAATCCTTGCTGATATTGGTTGCTGCCAGCTAGATATTAATAGGGCAACTCGGTGCAGAATCTAAAGAGTCTTAGATCTCTAGTGAAAGGGTGCTTTAGAGTACCAGAATTCTTGTATGAAAATATCACGGAAGCCGGCTCGTAATACTTCGTTCAATATTATGAAGAGGACGGAGCAACATGGAAACCATAGTTGGATAGTCACCAATTTTGTCTCTTCTCGTCCTTGGCAACCACGGCTCTATCAAGTGGTTCTCCTCATTTTTGGTGCTCTTTTTGCAGCTGCAAATGTACTGTTTCTCCTCAACAACAAGAAAGATCCATCCGCAAAAACATTCATTGCTTCAAACCAAGTCCACAATTCACAGAGATATCCCTTTGTTCCGGCCGATCTCATTATTCAATGTGGCCTAGCAGAGCATGTCAATTTGGAAACCTTGCCAGAAAAGCCACTTACTAAATCACTTGGATTTGTCAAACCCCACAAGGTTGGAGGCTCTACTGTTGCAAACATTGTCAATCGGATCGTTTGGGGACGCAACATGACCAAAATGATTCCTTCCGGATACATCAATTTGGGATTTCCGGCTCCTTTTCCAGGAGATTACAAACAGATGAAGCAATTCAATAATAATAATAATAATGAGACAACGGGAATCTACAGATTTGATGCCGTGTCCAATCATGCTGTTTTCAATGCAGATGCATTTCGAACGTACCTCAAAGAGCCAATGCTGAGCTTTACAATCCTGAGGGACCCCTTGGAGCGAGCCATCAGTGCCTTTAATTACATTCCTCCCTATAGCTATGGAAACTATTCATGGCAGCATTTCATCAGAACGTACAAGAACATCACACACATCAAAACACGCGATGACGCAAAGCATGTGAACCCAATGGCCCATGCCTTGGGATGGTATCATTCGCGACCACCGATTCTCATCAGTGGCAACAACAGCAATACTCCAATGAAAGGGATGATGTGGACAACAGCATTTGATCACAACGAATCGGCTATTAGAGAATTCATCCAGAAAGTGGATATTGAAATGGATCTGGTCATGATTCTTGATCACTTGACAGAGAGCTTGCTGTTACTGAGGGATGAATTGTTGCCTGAGGAGCTGGAAGTAACAGAACTACTTTGGTCTAATTTCAAAGTGAACAACAACAGATCATTGAGCCACAAAAAGATCTACCCAACGAAAAAGGCAAAAAAAAAAACTGAACGTCTAATAACGGATTCAGACGAGATGTGCTTGAGGACTACCCACGAGCTAAGGCTCGGGTATTTCCCACAGTCAAGTCTGCTCACCGGCCACACTGGCCTCCTGAGAGGGTGCGACGCCTGTTAGCTATCTAAGGATTTGTACACTGAGCTACCCAACGGAAGCAGAACGACAAGAGCTGTCCTACATGAATTTTGTGGATCAGATGCTATATGACCATTTTCGGGACAGGCTATTAGCTCGATGGGAGGCCAAAGTGGAGCAAGCACCGGAAGAAACCATTCAACTAAAGAATGGACTCAATTGCCTTTATGAGTTGTCACGCAACTTCTCTCCACCGAGAGCAATCGACTCCCAAAGCCCCTTCAGATAGGCATATCCCAAGATTCTCCTGTCTTTACAGAGTTGCAGTCTATCAAGCAAGAAAGGGAAAACAACAATTGATGTTGGCACCTAGCTAGCTGATGATCTGTTTGAGTTAGTTGTCCTTGGATGTTCCGATCTCGTGACTCTATGATCAATGTCCACCCAGATCACGTAGAATCATCGGGGGGAAATTCCAAACAGCCGTTCGATCGACTAACTCTACGCATAAATGGCATTGTCTCTTCCTGTCTACGAGTATATAGCTAGCCTGCTAGTGTACTAGCAGGGATAGTACTACTAGCTAGAGTAAGCTGACAAATGAGGATGGTACTCCCGCAACTCCATCGTGAGTTCCGATCTCTCTCTCTCTTCCACTGTACCGGTACTGGTGCAATAATTGATCTTTAACAAAACATGAAATAAATAGAGACTACTTAGAAGACTTGCTTATAAATCACTACTCCAGCACTCTAGCTAACTAGTAGTATCTTGGGACCTACCTACTATCTACCGTATAGCCTTGGATCTCACTCTCCCTCTCGTACAACCTCGATTGCCTGGAGCTGCATGGTAGTTCCTTGGGCCTTCTTTTCCTTGATGATTGGAGTTCCATGAGATTCGATTCCACGGTTGAACCCCACGCTGACACTGATGTATCATAAATGTATCCTTATCTCTAATAAAATATCTTATCACATGTCATGGATCGAGAATTTTACGAGAATTGGTGGAGGAGATGCACGGGAACAGTACAGAGCGTCGTGGTGAACCGGTAGGAACTGGTTTTTTGTCAATGAATCGAATCGTCGAATGGATTCGAATGATTGAATTCTTTCTCAATTGCTATTGCTGCCAGCCACAACCTGGGAAAGAAGTAGAAGGCAAGTCAAGCTAAACTTACGACAGTCTATCTCTCGTGTTATTGTCAAACCAACTAGCTGTAGCAGACTTGAAAGAGGAAAGAGAAGTACTAGAGTATAGATAGTAAGATGGATGTTGTAATGGAAGTGAGCGATGGAATGGTGGATGTGTCCAACAAGAGCCGAGAAGAAGAAGAAGAGGAAGAGCGACGACGCAAGCGACAAAAGAAAAAGAAAACCAATCGTCCTCCTCTTTGTACTTTTGTCAACTACCTGGCACCTCCCACTACTACTGTAGCAACCCCTGCAGCTACTAGTAGTGTTCCGAATGTTCCTGCCACTATTTCCGAGCCAAGTACGGAACATGTGGAAGATGACGAGGATGACGACGATGACGTGATGATGAAGGGAGTGATTGTCACGGATCAGAACAGCAACAGCATGGAGACAAGTCCCTTGTCCAACGATCGTCCCGTCCTTGATGATGAGGATTTGACTCCTCCGATTACGATTCCCTCTACTCAGTTGTTTGTTGTTGCCAATAGTAGGAGTGATAAGGACAACGACGACAACGAGTCGGTCGAGACGGTCAATACGTCCAACAAATCCGTCGACGTTTATCTGCGACCGGATGGATCCTTTGATCACATTCCCGCCGCAGAACGATGGAAGAAACCCCCGCCACCGGTTGTCTCCGATATGCTCGAGAAACTCGATGGACTCTATGTGACATCGCGTTGCGAATCGGATGATGAATTGGAAGAACAACCTCGCCCTTTGCCAGAAATTGTCGTCAAGACACGACGGCATCGATTGCCATCGCTGCACAGTCAGTGGAGGACCAAACACAGCAAACGATATTGTTTGGGGTGATATGTACAAAAACGAACGAAACTCACCGCAGCAAACTTGCTTCCGTACTGTTCATCCCTTCATTCATTCTATCATTCCATGCTACACAACACAACCAAAACGAAGCGGAACTGGAACAAAATACGCTCTTTTTGCTCCTTCCAACAAAACACAAAAATGATACACATTCTCTACTACCTACTAGTACACATTAAAAGTTTGTAAGCTACATTATTATTAATTATATGTATAGCACCAATACATACACCCGCCTACTAGGCCAGGAGGCCGTGTGCTGTGGCTAGCTAGTAATTTCAAACAGAGAAGAGACAACCAGAGCGGATGCCGCCGTACTGGTCCTCAATTTTTTGCCCCTGATCCCACGGAACCTACTAGCTAGCTAGTCCTGAATTTCATTTTCGACTCTTGCCTCTTTGCTTCTTGCGGACTACATGTACATGTAGCTAAAGTCGAGTGACAGTCATCAGGGCCCCTCCCACTATTGACTAGCTAGTAGGTACAGTAAGACTCGAATGTCAATAATGGAAGAAGAATCCATATTCGTATAGCATGCTGCCAACTTGCTTGCTTCCCATAAATAAGGCAGCCACTTCAGAAAGAAAGCGTCATGATTGTCGTTGTGGCTGGTTTGATGAATACAGTGAGGTGGTTTAATAATGTTAGGTAGGCAGGTTGGTTGCTTGCTTGAATTCTTTACAAGTCTGCATATTAGTTATGATTGGTTCAGATCCGATCATGTTGATGATCTCTCGTAGACTATCGATAGTAGCAGGGACGAACCATACCGGCAGGCGGAGAGGTCTTTCTTTGCTTTGCATGCAGCAACGAAACAATTTTGTCCTCCATGGAAGCATAGCAGAGTTGGAGAGTGCGATGCCAAGATTATTGGTTGCTGCACGTCAAGCAAAAGCATTCCTTGAGCACTGTTTTTTTAAGGAGGTACCACCCGGTCTGTCCGTTTTTTTAGTCATGAGTTGGTTGAAACCCAAAATTACTCGAGAAAATCGCGACAACAACAACAACAAAACGATTTCGATTGCTGCTGTTGGGACTGGCTAGTGCTCTTGTCCTACTCAATTCTGACAGTAGCTACCATTCAGTTAAATCTTCGAAAAGTAGTTGTTAAGAAGGAGTGACTTGCGACGGCGGGGCCTGGTCGATAGGTCCTGGACAGTTGCAGGGGCTCCGGTCGATAGGTCTCAGTAGCAGCAGACTTAGCGGTCGATTTTCGGCAGTTTTCAGAGTTAACACTGAACCAAACAGTCTAAGCCCCAGCGACTGTCAAATCCGACAGGGCACTCTTGTTTGTTATATTACAAGTACTCTTTGTATTGGTCAAAGCCTTAACAGAGGTCTTTATTCTACTCAACTAATCAGTCCAATTCAGCGATCGAAGTCGGTTTTTTGTTGTTGTTGTCGCGATTTTACTGGTTAATCCCAACTCATGACTAAAAGAGGGTGGTACCTCCTTAAGTCAGCGGGAGCTGCGATACCTCGGCAGAAAGACAGATAGAAGAAGGACAACATGTTTGAGATTGCACCCTGCTTTCAAGAAGGCAGCCCTGGCGACGACACCCGACTTCGTCGTGTGTTGCCGCCCGGTATCATTCCCTCATTGTAACATCCTTTTTTTATTTAAGCTAGCCCTGGCGACAACACCCGACTACGTCGTGTGTTGCCGCCCGCTACTCTATAATTTACCAGCTGCCATTCCCTTATTGTAACTCTAACCTTTACAGCTCCTGCTGGCTTATTGTGGTGTTGTGCTGATTGCACTAACCTTAAATATTAATGATTTATTCCTACCCCTAACTTGTATTGAACCATCAATGTTCAGTTTTGTTGTTTATGACTATCTCTATCCTTATATTTTGGCTTCACCGGAATAGGAAATAGGAAATAGGAAATAGGAAATAGCATTAAAGGGGTTGAGAACTCAGGCAGTTTACCTGCCGAGGTAATTCATTACTCTACATGATAGAAAGATCAAACTTATTATTAGTCCCTGAAACGCGGCTTATGGTCCTGTGGCTTTCGAATCACACATTTCGAAAAATATTTTCCCCGACCGCCCAAATAGCTCCCCTATTATCTTGGGGAGATTATTACAGTAAAAATGATTCCGAGGTATTGATTGAAATGCCAAGTTTTTGAGTCGTTCAGGGAGATGAAGCAAAATGGAGTGAAAAACAATAAAACTGCATGGCTTCACACTTCACAGCAGGGATCAATTGTTCGCTGAGCTCGATCGAGCCGCTTTCCTGCCTCCGCCACCGGAAACTCACTCCCGTGGGGTGTTGACGTACTGTACTGTGCCGCTCTGCCGTATTTTGGCAACCCAGACACAACCGGAATCAGCGAAGGGGGTTTTAGATAGCTTATGCCAAGTACAGTACATGTAGAGGTTTATCTGAAGCTGCTAAGCAAGCTCCCTTTTTACTTCATTTGCGAATGGTCCATAAAATTTCTCTCTCATATTTCCAAAACCAAAAGTTAAAATAATGATCAAGCCAAGTTTCTTCCTTGTTGGAGCTTCTCTGGGTCAGCTCTTTTTCATTCTCATTTCCCAGACCAGTGGATACATCGTTGACAGCGATGTTAACATCAAGGTCAGGCCTTTCCATCACAGTCCAATCAAGCATGCAACTGCACCAACGGCATTGCAGTTGCCATCACCACAAAGATCCAAGGCTGTTGCCCTGGATCCATCACAGTACAATGCAGCACGAATCAAACGAGGTCAACAGTTCTTTCAGGACAATATGGTTGTCATTGCCAATTCATGGGCCCTAATCATTGTTGCAGGCTTTGCCGACACCGAAATGGCAAGTGCCCTTCTTTCTACCAAAGCAACAGACACTGCAGAAAAGGCACAGCAGCGGTACCATCGGACTTTCCGAGACTTGTTGTACTGGCACACTCAAGACCTATTTGACCCCAGCTCTCCAGCTGTGAGGCAACTTCGGGCTGTCAAATCAATGCACAATCGTGCCGCTGCTTCCATTGCTGCCAAAGCCGACACCAATTCATCCAAGTGCCCCTTTTCAGCGGCAGCCCGCAACCTTGTCAAATTGACTTGTCATCACACTACTAGCACAAAAGGATCAAACCGAGCAGCATTCATTCAGTCAGTCATGGCAAGAACGCAAGCTTCTTTCGTTGCCATGGCGGTCACAAATCCAAAGGGTCTTGGAATTTATGACCAGTGTGGACTGGAAGACTTTGTTTATTTGTGGTGGGCTCTTGGAAAGGAGCTGGGAATAGAGGACAAATACAATGTGTGCTCCAGCCTTGCCACTGCCAAGAAGTTTGTTGCTGACGAGTACACAATGAACATAGCACCAGCATTGGCAGCTTTGGCTCGGCATCCCACTCAAAGTTTTGAAACCTTGGCAAGTGCATATTGTGATGGCATTGACTTGACCCCAGAAAATGTCAAGGTTTTCACAGGACATAGTCCTCAACAAGCTCTCTGGACGGTTGCACGTTTTTTTCCTGGAGGATTCGAAAAGAAGTTTCCACTGACACCCTGGGAACATGCCAAAACGGTCATGGAGCTGGATTCTTTTCGTAGATTGGGGCGCATGCCAGCTGCTGCTAGACGATTGCTCAACAGGTCTGCAATTGCATCCTTTTTGAAACATGTAGCGCATAGAAGGGAGCCGTAAACACCAAATAAAAACAATTTTTGACAATCTGTTTACTGCTAAGAAAGTGTTTTGTGCTTGCCTATAACCTCGACGGGAGGCTCCCAAACCTTGTGGGGGAAAGACATCCTGCCTCAAGCCCGTTTGCAGAGTTAGTTTCCAGGTGCATCTCCATACTTTCCACCACCACCACGGGTCTCCCACATACCGGTACGCACATTCATGGCTGGCTTTTGCTTGAGTGCTGAAACCGTACCGTAGACACGCGTGTGTGTGCCTTTGCGCGCAGTTAGTTAGTTAGTTTGAGCAAGCAACGTGGTGTCAAGGATACTTACCGTACGACCTCCAGTGGCGCTCTACTCGATCTGCAAAGAGGAGGGATTCAATTCCAAGCATGCAGTGACGCAAAGCATGGCAAGAGACAATATGATGTTTACATACGGTACATGGATCCTAGTTAGCTAGCTGACAGTACCATACTGAGCGATCAGGGCATGAATGCTCGGATCAATGCTCTGAGGGACAAAAAGTTGTTTGTGACCCAGAATGTGTGTATACATGGGAGTCCATGCACATGAGGAGGAATGACAGGATCATTGTCGTCGACAAGAGCAAAGAGGAACCTGAATGATTCAATCAAGCAAATCGAATCAAGAAAGCAATCATGCCAACTGAGTGTGTCGTTGCAAGAAACAAACAAGCAGCGTATTCTGTTTCGTGAGCAAAGGTTTATTGGCTGGCAGCACAGATAACAGTCTAGCGTCATGATTGTCGTTGTGTTGCATTGAATGCAGTGAGGGGGTTTAAGCAACAGTACGGGTAAGGGAAGGTTGCTGGAAGTATGCATAGGTATGATCTCTCATAGTCTAGTACCGAATAGGAAAGAACCATACTCGGTAGGCGGGTAGTATATGTAGGCGCTGGCTGGGGTCTCTCTTTTGCATGCAGCAACAATGCAATTTTGTCATCCGTGGTAGCATCACAGCGGAGTGTGAGTCCAGAGGGGCTAATACTCCAGTCGAGTCGAGTCTCAGTCGAAGAGTACGATGTTATTGGTAACTTTTCTTGTTAGCGCCTACTCTACATGATCAAGCAAACTTACTCGGTCCTGTGGCTTCGTTTCACACATCGCTTATACCGGAACGCCCAAACATTGGGGAGTATTAATTGGGCCACTTCAAGCAAGAACAATTCCCGTTTTGGGTATTTCAGGGCGACAAGGTAAACCATCGAGAGGAACGATAAACTGGAAGCCTCTACACTTCCCAGCAGGACCCTGAGCTTGCTACGCTTTCCTGCCGAGGTCACTCCCGTGGGGTGTTTACGTACCCTATTTTGACACAGGCACGCAACCAGAATCAGCAATCTTGGTCTTAGCCATACACGCACCGAGTAGAGGTTGGTGGTCTTATTAGATGTACAGGACCAAGTACGATGTTTGCCTGGAGTTGCTAGCAAGCACCCTTTGTACATGTACTTCATTTGCAATTGGCTCATAAGATTTTCTCTCTCATATTTCCAAAAGCCAAAAGTTAAAACAAAAACAAAAACAATGATCAAGCCAAGTATCTTCCTTGTTGGAGCCTCTCTATCTCAGCTCTTTTTCATTCTCATTTCCCAGACCAGTGGATACATCGTTGACAGCGATGTTAACATCAAGGTCAGGCCCTTCCATCGGAGTCCAATCAAGCAAGCAACTGCAGCAACTGCATTGCAGTTGCCATCACAACAAAAATCCAAGTCTGTTGCCCTGGATCCATCACAGTACAATGCAGCACGAATCAAACGAGGTCAACAGTTCTTTCAAGACAATATGGTTGCCATTGCCAATTCATGGGGCATCATCATTGTTGCAGGCTTTGCCGACACCGAAATGGCTAGTGCCCTTCTTTCTACCAAGGCAACAGATACTGCAGAGAAGGCCCAAAAGCGGTACATACGGACTTTCCAAGACTTGTTGTACTGGCACACTCAAGACCTATTTGACCCCAGATCTCCAGCTGTGAGACAACTCGGGGCTGTCAAATCAATGCACAATCGTGCAGCTGCTTCGATTGTTGCCAAGGCCAACAACAAATCATCCAAGTGTCCCTTTTCATCAGCAGCCCGCAACCTTGTCAAATTGACTTGTCATCACACTACTAGCACAAAAGGACCATCAAACCAAGCAGAGTTCATTCAGTCAGTCATGGCCAGAACACAAGCTTCGTTTGTCGCCATGGTGGTCACAAATCCAAAGAGTTTTGGAATTTATGACCAGCGTGGACTGGAAGACTTTGTTTATTTGTGGTGGGCTCTTGGAAAGGAGCTGGGAATAGAGGACGAGTACAATATGTGCTCCAGCCTTGCCATTGCCAAGAAGTTTGTGGCTGACGAGTACACAACGAACACAGCTCCTGCATTGGCAGCATTGGCTCAGAATCCCACTAAAAGTTTTGAAACCTTGGCAAATGCATATTGTGATGGGATCAACTTGACCCCAGAAAAGGTCAAGGCTTTCACGGGACACAGTCCAAAACAAGCCCTTTGGACGGTTGCACGCTTGAACCCCGGAGGACTTGAAAAGAAGTTTTCACTGACACCCTGGGAACATGCAAAGTCGATCATGAAGCTGGATTCATTTCGTAAAGTGGGGCGCGTGCCAGCTTGTGCTAGACGACGACTGAACAAGCTTGGCATTGCATCCTTTTTGAAACATGTGGCCCAAAAGTAGAAGTGATACTCAAGTCTTTGGCTGAGACACAGGGCTGATTGGTCTATTGGGACCATATACGTTATAGAGATTTTGTGGTGTTTAGCTCAAAAATATATTAGAAGGGAGCAGTAAACACCAAATAGAAAAAGTTGTTTGACAATCTAGACTGCTAAGAATGTGTTTCGTACTTGCCTCTATGTTGTTCGTCTCAGGCTCCCAAAACTTATTGATGCATTGGGAGACGGGAAAGCCATCCTGCCTGAAGCTCCTTTGCAGAGGCAGCTTCCAGGTGTACTTTCAAGTTTGGTATAGTCTACGCTTTGCTTGGTTGTGCCATGCAACGCTTGCGGTGGCTGTAGTTAGCCATGCAGAATCCCGTGCGTGGCAGCCTGAACAGGAGATGATGCCATGGTTGCATTCGCTCAAGAAGAATGGATTCAAGCAATGAGCTTGTTGTCTCCTGACTCTAGCTAGACGGCCGCATGCTAGCGCTTAACAAAATGATCCGGGCAACCGCCGGCTTTGGCTACTACTTTTTGGCTGCACACAGACTGAACGAGACTTATGTTTTTCGCAGGGAGCAATGTACGGCCCGGTCGCCGTCGCATGTAAGGCTACGCACATATTCAATCTTCATGCAACAGTCAAACGCATGAAGGGGGTCCCTAGCTAGCTAGAAAGAGGACCCACAGGGCGCTCCCAAATCTGAGGTTAGGGAAAGGGGAGAAGGGATCAAAGGGCAAATACTGGCGATAGAGATCATGAGCGCAACGGTCATCCCAATGCCGTCCTAAAAGAACAGAAGAACGGAGGAGGCGCATGGTACCAGTAGATAGCTCTGCCCAGCACGGTACTTCTCCAATATAGCTAGCTAGCTGTAGCTACTTCCAATAAGGTACCGCACTCTACAGTAAGGATCCAGCAGCACACACCACACCACCCTCCCTGGCTTCCCCAGATAACCTCCCGAATACTCTAACTAAACGCCTTCGGGGCCCCAACCTTTTAGAAGATCGGTACCGGTATCTTTTCCGCATGCGTGCAGCCATCCACGGCCACCAGATCATGGTTTCATCGGTTCTTCAAACGGCTGCTAACCGTGGGAGAAGCAGCTCGTTAGATGCAAAGCGTGGATGAATGCCTTGATTCTTGTCTCCCGCGATGGTGTCTCATTTTTTCAAATCCGGCATGCATTCCCCAAAAAACAACCGAACTTTCGCGTCAAATACATAGAGAAGGATAGAAGAACCCGACTGCTGACACAACTCCAACATCATCATCCATTATCGATTATCCATCGTCTCTTCTGATACTCCACTCCTTGTCGAATCGAATCTTCTAGCTAGAGATACCATAACCGCACGCTAGTTAGCCATTCACACACCACCAGCCACTGCCACCACCATTATCTAGCCAGATACCCAAAGATACCCCTTCCCGCGAACCATTCGAATCCACACAAGTGATCATGGCCTCTTCTTGTTTGGTTACCCATGGCGTGTCCTTGTTGTTACTACTAGTACTATTGACAATGGTAACAACACGCGTGAATGCCGTTCCCGCGCTGTGTCCGCGAGATCCCTCGGTGACTGGGTACAGCGACCTTTCCACCCTCCAAGACGATATTAACTTGGTCAAAGAGGAGAGTTCGACCAACACGTTCAACCCTCCTCCTAATACTCAAGTATTTACCATTTGTCCCGGCACGACGTTTCGCTTGACGGGTGACGTTGATATTGGCAATCAAGGACTGCACTTTGCCCATTCCAGCAATTTACCTCCCATGGTACTCCAATGTGGTCTACAAGGCAAATCGTCCGACAGTTGTATTTTACGCGGTGGATTGCATCACGTGTGGATTGACAATGTCGGTGCTCTCTCGTTTAAAGGCATTACCTTTCAAGCCGCCACACGAGGCAGTGTCTGGATGGGAACGGGTCAGAACGAAATTGCCTTTGACGATTGTATTTGGCAAGACAATACACATGAATGGACGGCTGTGGGAGGTGCCAATTGTCCCAATGGATGTGCCGCCGCGTTAGCCGGTCGATTCGGTGCTGCCAATGTCACCAATTGTCAGTTTCGAGACAATCGCGGCAAATCGGGAGCCGTCTATGGAGAAGGAATGGAATATACCATGGACCGTTGTGTCTTTCAAGGAAACACGGGAACGGTATGTACATGCCCTGTTTGACTTTGGATTTGGGATTCGGAAGGCTTCTCACCGTGTCTTGATTCGTTCTACCGAGCAGTGGACAGCCATGGATGGACAACCAGCGGTACGTATACTATTACTAAGATGATGAGTTTTCTCCTTGGGCTGTCAGCACTTCTATTTGTCTCACTTTCTCTCACTACTACAACCATGCATTTGCAGGCCAGCGCCATTACCCTGGTGAATCCATCATCCAAATTGGAACTATCCAATTCCTGTTTTACCGATAATGAAGCATCGGGTCCGGCCACGGTCAAAGTCGATGATTCTTCCAAAGATGGCACCACAGCCACTGTTTCAAGATCGGATACCGATTCCACATTGACAATCAACAAGAATAACTTTTTTCAAAACAACATTGTGGCGACGTCCACGCAAGGACAGTATTGTACCAATTCCATTTACGTCTATTCGGAACAAATGGATGATACCTGTGAATGGGGCGATGCCAGTTGTTGTGCCGTCGCAGAAGATTGTGCGTCTGCCGTTGTTAGCAGCAGCACTACATTCCCACCCGGGCAAACCAACAATCGCGATATTTTTGAACCAACCGAGGAGAGTGGCGCTCCTTATAATAGCCATGCAGCAAGATGGATGTCGGGTCTTGGGATGGTACTTGGCTGGACACTCTGGTGGGTGTGAATGAGTATGTACCGGATTGATAAGGAAGGAACGAATGACACTTTGTTGGGTGTCCTGTATTGTTTGGGAGTCGAGTCCTGCCCTATCTATTTTGCATTCTATTCATGTACACACGGAAGAAAGCCAACACGAGCCTCGAAATGATCGATCGATCAGTCCAACCCATCCCCGTCTTGGCCGGACTTCATTCTTCTTCTTATTAGTTCAATTGACATTGTAGTGTTTCCTCCTTGATTGCGTATACTGTATCTATATAAAAGTTAAGTTTTAAAAAAAAACGGATTCATCATGAGCAGAGCAAACCATTGCAGGAAAACCATAGATCCTACAGTATCAATTCTGTCTTTTATCACCAGAGAGGAAACAATATCACTAGCTAGCTAGACTAGTCTACCGGTACGAGAAGCCTATGAGTCCTACAGCATAGCTAGCCAGAAGAGGATCATCTTGGTCTAAGTTTTACTCTACTACGGCATTAATAGTGCAGTATTTGTGGAACTAGCTATCTGGCTCCATCCAACCTCCACCTTGATTGATTGATTGATTGGTGTTGCCTTTTTCTAAAATCCATGCACCTGGAGTGTATTGTTGTTTTGTGTAGCTAGAGAGAAGAGCGTAGTAAATTGTTGCAATTGATGGCGAATTATCATCATGAAAATAAAAAGGCCAATTCATTTGTATTCATGGAGTCAAGTCAAATTCCAGTTGTGAAGGCAAACTTGTCGTAGTATTTTGTTTTTGTGTATGAATGTATCAATAATACATGTATATCAATCCACTCGTCGTTTGAAGATTCCCGTACGAGGATGTCGTGCATCATTGTCGTGTACGGCATTTCCTCGTTTGGGAACATCATCGTCGTCGTCCGGTTCACTAAACGCCACGACTACATACGCCATAATAATGATATTGGTGACCAAGACGGCCGCTCCACCAGACCAATTGGAAGGATCCACCATGTTGGAAAAGACGTAATAGTAACACGCATAATACGTCACAAAGGGAAGCGTAAACATCAGCCCCGTTGCTATTCCCAATTTACGACCCACATCGCGATTTTGCTCTGCTAGTAATCTACACACACAGAAAAAACAAGCAAAAACAATCCATGCATTCAGGGACCATGAGAAACTCAAGCAAAAAGGCACAGCAAGCACAACAGCGACACAACAGCAAGCTAGCAACTCACAAACTATAGCCCATTGTCACTACAAGTCAAATCTTTAGAAAGCGATGATAGATCCTATGGTGCGGTTGATTGAAAGAGGACAGAGTTGCTTTGGATCATGGTCGGTGTCATTGTCTTGGACCTTTGGCTATTTCTTTCGAAAGGTTGAGCGGGGCGGCATCTCCAAATCTTTGGACTGTCACTCACTTTTTCTCAGTGCCACGTCACAATAAGTTTGTGGGTCGGAGGTTCTTTGCCCCAAGATCCAGTCTTCTATCTTGGTCATTATTATCTGCAACAACAGCCAAAAGAAACACAGAAGACCATCTATCTAAAAGATCCAAAACACTAGCTAGACTAATACAGTATCATCATGGCGGAGTATTGGGATTGGTTCGACTGTGACAGCAAGAGTGCCCAAACGCGATATGTCTATGGGCTTCGTCCGGACAAAGACGACATTCGGAACGATCGATCGGCGTTGGCCAAAGTGGCCCATTGCATTCACACTCACGTCAAGAGCTCCGAAATTCCCATTCAACTCGTCAAAACGTGTGGATCCGTCGGCAAGAATACCGATTCCAGTATCTCGTCCGATTTGGATTTGGTCATTTTTATTGACGAATTAAAGCCACACGAGCTTGCCAACAAGATTTCCGGGATTCTCGATAAAATACAAGATGCCATGGACGAGCAGTATCCGGGAACACGCGATGAGGATTGGTACCGAAAATTTGGATTGCGCTATGTTATTGCCGGAATGGAAATTGATATTTTGATTGGATGTACCACGGTCAAACCAAAGGATTTTCTGACAGTGGACGATGCCAATCAAAGAGCCTACATGTCGGCATCGGCCAGTCGCTATGCCACCAACTTTATGAAAAAACAGGGGCGGCTCTTTAAAGACTTGGTACGGGTTGCCAAGGATTGGAGAGATTCCTTCCCCGGTTGGCCCAATCAATGCAAACCAAAATCGTACCTACTGGAAGTATTGATGCTTCATTCCTGTCGACAAGCACGGCCTCGTTTTTTTGTCAAGAAGCACAAAAAAAACACATTCAAGCAGTCCATACGCACCACACCCAATCTGGTCGCCTTTTTCATGCTACAATTCTTTGACATGATTGGCAATATTATTACGATCGAACCCAAGGGTAACAAAATCTACAACAAGGACACGGTATCACTCACCTGTTTCTTTGACACGTATTACAAAGAAGATGATATTCCATGGGACCAACCGGAACCACTCTTTCAACAACAAACCGTCACGAAGAAAAGTGGGGGCAAAAAAGTCACACGGCATGCCACGGCGTTGGTATTGGATCCGGCCAATCCCACCAATAATCTCTGGTTGACATTGGCGGATCCCACTCTGTTTATCAATCGAGCCAAAAAGACGGCCGAGTTGCTCCGAGAGGAAATGGAGGAATAGAATGAATAAATAAAATAGGATAGAATACAAACAACAACAACATCCGCCATGGCTGTCATAATATTAGCTGGCTAGCTAGTCTAGTTGTAGATAGATAGATAGACAAATAAAGCTGTAGTTGGCTGATGTGGCAGGCAGCAGCAAGCTAGTCAATTGTGGGGTAGATTATTATCAGGATCGAAAGCGTGAAGATGACGGTTGGAACCAAGCCAAGGACCTGGGTCCGCGGTTGTGTGGGTTAACCTGCTTGACAAGGAGTACCGTGCATGCGGTGCCTGGTGCATTGGCACAAGTACCGCAGGCATAGGTTGGTCCCCGACCCATTGCTTTCATAGGCTATTGGCTGCTACTGCTGAGGCTGAGGAATTTGTGGCTGATTCCTGGCTGGTAAGCAAGCAACGGCATGCACCGATATTGAGACACTCAGCTTAGTCACGCATTTTTGCCCCGGTGATGGCATCTATGCATGCAAGTGATGGCATTACATTGGTTAGCCACAACATGCTATCTATCGCACCAACCCCAAAAATAATCAAAGCCTATTTAAAACGGATTCAGACAAGCTGTGCTTGAGGACGACCCACGAGCCGAGGCTCGGGTATTTCCCACAGCCAAGTCCGCTCACCGGCCACACGCGCCCCGGAGGGTGTGCAACTGCTTTATGCGATCTAAATGAGTAAACTTCATGGCTACACCAACCCAGACCTGGAACCGAAGCACTGAACTGAGCAGCCAGGGTGGCCTGGGTGGGAATCTCGCGAAGAGGCATCATGGTGGACGAAGTCGAGAGACATTAGAAGAGACGAGGTTTCTGGCCACTCGATTGCAGCTACGTGGCTAGCAAGTCTTCAAATAAATGAACCAAATCCTATTGTTTACTCTTGTATGCAATATGTATAAATGTCAGATGCTGTGCTTTAGAATCTGATGCTCTAAACGAACTTGCTATGGTGCCCAATGCGGTCGATCAATAGCTTGAAGGTCACTCTGAAAGTTCACTACACGGCCAGTCCCCCTCGGTTGTTCGTCTCGCAGAGCAATGCCCCAGGCTGGCAGCTTTGCTCTGAAGGATTGAACAAACCTTTCGGCAACCTCTACTGTCTCTTTGTAGGTGAAAAGGTTGATATCAATGTGCTGGCTGCCGTCCCAGAGCACCGTGGCATCGCCTCCAACCCATGACGCTGTAATCACAAGTCCTTTCCCCAAGTGTTCAAAGTCTTCCCTCGTCACTTGTGTTACCTTGATTGACTTGAGAGCATTCGAGCATGCCCTTTGCACTTTTTTCAACGACAGCTTTGGAAGGATCTCGGCTCTCATGTACATCGGGTGAACGTCATAGCCATAATCTCCATCATCAAACTTCACGTTGAACAGTTCTTGATCATCATTGGCATCTCCCTTTGCTTCCTTCTTCAACAGAACCCCCGGGATCCATTGGTCGGTCTCCTCGTAGTACACCGAGACCCGGTCTCCATCCTTCGTGTACTTGTTCCAAGGCTGTAATTCTAGTTGGAAGAGTGTTTGGAAACCAAGAGGCTTCTGGGACATCCATTGGTCCAAGGGAGATGTTTGATCGTAGTCTTTTGGGTAGAAGAAACGTGGGTCGAAGTCTGGCTGGTAGTTGAACAAGCCGCCCTGAATGTTCCGAATGTCAGCCGCAAGATTAGTCTTTTCTTCTATCTCTGCCACCGCCATCTTGAAGTGAGGAATGAAGTCCACGTCGCCATACGATGCGATTCCTAACTCGATTCCCGAGACAGAATCATTAAAGAATGCTTGCGCCCTGAACACTGGGTCGTTCACGATAATATCATGGCGGAATCGGTCAATCAAGGCGCGACGCCAAGAGTCCTCTTCTGTTTGCATGGTAGCCACAACCAAACCACTGTCAGCCAGCAAGACTTCCCTATGATTCTCGTCGGAAAAGAGCTTGACGACAACTTGCCCCATAGCAAATGGAGCACCAGGATCCACCACAACCAGACGAAGCGCCTCGTTTTCTTCGGTTGCCGCTTCCAGTGTGTCAAAAGTGTCTGCTCTGCACCTGCGCAAACATGCAATGCCACTTTCGTCGTCTCGGTCGAGTCCTTCCAACTGTGGGCAAGCCCAGAGTGGAATAACGGAGCCTATTGATTCAACGTTTGAAGCTACCTCGAGGCTTTCGCATTTCTCATTTTCAAATCCACACACTATGGCAACACTGATGTTGCTGCGTCCAATCAGTTCCACACTTTCCTGCAGGATAGTGCCCAGAACAGCTTGCCCAACGTGTCTTGTACCGCCCGTATCGTCACTATGGTTGCCAGAACAAGCAGAGTCCCTTTGCCGAGGACCACGATTCTTTTCGTCCTCCTTCCAAGAGGCAACCCCTAGCATTCCTCCAGCGACAATGCGGTACGATGACGATGCACGTTCCGGAGTCCCTACTGCTGTGATCAGGGCTGTCTTCAGCTCGCCATGCTTTTCAAACTTGCTCCAGAGATGAATGTCGAATGCACAGTACTTTCTGTTTGGCCAAGTGCGAGCCGTAATGTAGCCCTCTTTGAGGACGACGGATATGACCCCCCTACTCTTTTCATCACTGGGATCAGCTTCACGGGCAGTATCAGACACCGGACTAAAGCCTGCCTCCTTCATGGCCTCAATTATTGCCGCCGTCAAATGGATGGGGTGAGCCACAAGGTCGCTGGTCTCCTCTGCCTCAACAACCATAATAATGCCAGGGCTACTGGTTTGATTGATGGGTTCATCTTTGGTCTCATCCATCTCTTTGCAGTGATCAATAGACCTCCCCGTGCTGTTTCTGTAGTCATGCCAAAGCCCATACTCGCTGGTCATGTCTTCCCTTTGGTCGGCCAGCAGCGTGTCCACATGATGATTGATCGGCTTCCTTTTGAGGAAGTCGTTCTCATAGCTACCGTAGACCATCACTTGGGAGCACACCACAGGGGTGCCGTAAAGGTTTGCTTGCATGGTGTAGTCGAAAAGGCTTGCAAACTTCTCAAGATAGACCTCATTCTTCACGATGATGCCTTCTGGCTTCAGCAACAGGGCCAAGGCTCCAAAGATATCTAAACCATCGGTCACTGTAAGTGACATTACAGTTTCCGAGAGATCCATAATGACTAGATCAAAGGACCCAAAGTAGACTGCCGGTAGCATGCCAAGGCTCTTGGATGCATCACCAAACCACCACTCCACTTTTGGGTTATCCCAGTGAGGTTGAGTTCCCAAGTGCTTGAACGATTTGCGAGTGACTTTCTGATCAAGTTCCAGCCCCACTACCTTTTGAAGCGTATCATACTTGAGAATCTCATGAAGCAGCATCGAATCACCGCCTCCAACAAACAGGACTCTCTCCAGTTTCTCCAAGTAGCGTGCAGTGTAGTGCACAGCCATTTCGTGATAGTGGGGACGGTAGGAACTGCAGATTTGAACAGTCCCATCCAAGTCAAAGCAAGTGTCGTTGGTTTCATTGTGTGCAAAAAAGGTTACCTTCTGATACTGAGATTGAACTTTCTCCGTATTGTTGTAGCCAATGAACTTGAGAATTTCAGGAGCATCACATGTTTGCTGCAAGTAGTTGAGCGAATCGGGCTTCTCTTCCAGCATGTCATACTCTGCATAGCCACCCTCTGCAACAATAGGTGTGTTCTTGTCGTCGTATGCGTAGATGGCTTCATCCATGGCTGTCACAATGGCTTGATAATACTGCAGGATCAACTCCCATTCGTGATCTGGAATACCGGGGTCCGGGGATTCCAAATGACTTGCAAACAACACAAGACGTTGTAGCTGTCTCTTCAAGAATTGAATGTCCTCGTCATAGGGTCTCTGGTGCAGCCACCGGAGAAAGATGGCACGGTCCGATTTCTTGTTCTTGATCAGACTCTCTTCTGCATCCAGGACAAACTGAACATCAGTCTGGTGAAAGTAGAAGGCTCGAGGGTAAGCTTCAACAATGCCAAAGTCTCGAAAGAGCTCTGGAGTTCCATAATCTTCTGCCTCTTTATTGTAGTAAGACGCAAACAACTCTTCTCCTTTTTCAATGGATCGACTGCTCTTGATGACCACCTCCATGAGCTCTCCCTTATTATTATTATCGTAGGAATCCTCAAAAAACTCCACTAGCGTGTTGACATCCTTGCCACGGCGATGCTGGAGCATATCATATAGAGGGATCATGACTTCGTTTCGTTCACTCCATGCATGCTGATGAAGCAGGAGCATACTTTCGACCCCCTCTGTTTCCATGTCCTTGGTTGTCAAATCGCAGGATCCATAAAGAGCATCCATTAGTGAATCTTGTGCGGGGTGCTCGGGTGGCAAATCAATGTTCATTCCCCAGTAGTACTCTTCTTCCTCTTCTTTGTCGTCGTCGTCCATAATATCGTATTCCTTTTGCTTGGCCTTGCTCAATAACCGATTCAAGAGTTGCTTCCCGGGGCGGGACCATGCTGCGGTGGGCACCCTCGATGGTGGTGAAGCATCCTGCAAGTACTGAATGTAGGGAGCATACTGAGACTTTGACCCGAGTTTCATTTCGTGACGGAGTGTTCGAGCCGTGAGTTGTCGACGGCATTGCTTGTCTTCATCATGAGTCGGAACAGCAGCCTTGGTCATGATCAAGGTTTCCTTGGGAAGTACCAAGAGTGGCGTACCGATAGGGATATCGGCTTTGACAAACAGACGATACTCACTGACATTGTTGTTGTTGGCGTCTACCATCTGTCGAATGTCAATTTCGTCATGGACGTGACCACCCAAAGCTTTGATCCAAGAGGCAATTGCAGTACCACCATGATCTTCTTCTGTTTCCGCCGTCGTGGTGTGGTTTATTGGAAGTATAATATTACTATTATCATGACTTTTACCATCCATACGTACGTTGACGTGACCACGAGAGTTGACAACGGCGTCGACATTGGAAGTACCTCCACAAGCCACGGGGAGGAGCGCCACAAGCCACAATGTACTTTGAAGAAACAATGACATGTTGTTGTTAGGTTCTTGCTGCTGGATCTTTTCTTCAATCTGACGGAACAATTGAATGCCTATCAGGGTAACTAGCTAGGCAACGACAGAAAGAACTACTACTAGTACCATTCATTCAGATTGTAATACCAAGGACAAGAGGGAGGGATACGAAGTACCAGGTCCAAGCTCTTTCAACATAACTCTTGCCAGATCCTCTACCGGTATTTTGAAAGTTGGCAAGCGAAGATCTGGTAAAGATTGTGGGCTACTCTAAACCCCCGTTTTTAGACTACTAGTCTAGATCTACTTGTACCGAAAAACAAAAAGTAAAGGGGGGGTTTAGAGTAGGGAAATTATCTACGGAAGCCAGCCGGGGCCAGGCTTAAGCAAAGAACAGTCGAAATTCAGGACTAAAAACAAATACTAAATAGATCGTTAAGGAGCGAGGGGGGCGAAGCTAGGCAAAGCAGGGGCTGCGGTGGTAGGTGGCTGGTGTGGTGGGCGTACGGGGAGAGCAATGAGGACGCGAGCAGGGCAAAGAAAGGGGGCAGGGAAGGGGGGTGCATGGAGGAAAACCAGGAAGGAGAAGGGAGCAAAATTAGTGGAAGAGTGCAAGTGCACCATCGGCATCCCAGAGAGAATGACGGTAGCTAATTGTGCCAGCAGGGACACGAGAGCCACGCATGCAGAGGTGGCGGGCCCGAAGAATAGCTAGGCTGAGCCGAGCATTAAAGCAGCCACGCACTTGTTGGGTCGGGTTGCAAAAAGAACGATCGAGATGAGATCTTGCTCAATTTAGAAAGGGTTTGAGTTTCACGACAGTATTTAAGCTGATGAAGCTGCGAAGGACAACGACGGCGCACCTCTGCTCGATCATGGATGCCGAGCGCATTGCTTCGTCCCGCAACGCATCAAACAACGGCCAAAGAAGGAGCACTCCGTCGATCGCACTCCGAGATCTCTGAAGTCCCCAACAATTAAGTTGTAACCCCAAAGAAGGAGCTGCTCAAAATGCCACAAGAGACTTCTGGATTGATGGAGTAATCAAAAACTTGTCATACTGATACCCCATGACCTCCGATACGGTATCTTATTATTCTCCGGCATGCAATTAAGCAGACTAAACAATCATAAGCAAACCACTCCATGACACAAGAGGATCACTGGGCATGGATTGACTGTGACAGCAAGAGCGAGCAAGATCGCTACATCAATGACTTACTGCCGGACCGCGAGGTGTTCAAGGGGCACAAGAGCGCCCTCGGGCAAATTGTCCATGTCATCCACACACATTTATCGAATACTAATAATAATTTGTGTCAACAAGCAGCAATCATCAAAGTGCAGTACATCAAGACGTGTGGTTCGGTAGGCAAACACACAGATTCTAGCAAGTCTTCTGATTTGGATCTGGTGGTTCATATCCAAGACTTGGATCCACAACAAGATCTCTCCAAACGAACCTCTGAAATTCTGGGTGAAATCCAAATGGCTCTGGACAAGGAGTATCCAGGCACTCGTGACACAAGCTGGCACCGAACATTTGGGCTGCAATATGTCATTGAGGGGATGGAGATTGATATCTTTATTGGATGTACCAATATCAAACCAAAGGATTTTCTACAGGTGGAAAGCAGACGACAAAGATCATACATGGCGGCGTCTGTATTCCGATATGCAACATACTTTATGAAGAAACAGGGGGTAGTTTTCAAGGATTTGGTGCGGATTGTGAAAGACTGGCGAGATTCGTATTACCCCAGCTGGCCGCCTCAATGCAAGCCAGAATCCTACCTGATTGAAGTTTTGTTGTTGCACACTTGTCGACAAGCTCTTCCCAGAATCTTTAATGAAAAGAGGAACAGTGTGTGCTGGAGCATACCGTCCACCCCCAACCTAATTTCGTTCCTGTTACTACACTTTTTCCAAATGGTTGGACAAGTGGAACTCTACCAAAAGGGCCAGAAATACACCAAAGACAACATGTCACTCTCGATTGTCTTTGACACATACTACCAACAAGCGGATATTCCCTGGAATGAACCAGATCCGCTCTTTCGAAGACCAAATAAGACTGACAAGAAACAGAAAAATAGTGCCAAACCGGCAGCAAAGAAGCACATCAACTCTCGGCATGCAACCGCCCTCGTGTTGGATCCTGTCAACCCCACCAACAATCTTTGGCTTTCCCTGGCAGATGCTAGCATATTCATCAACCGAGCCAAGAGCACTGCCAAGATTTTGAGAAACCACAACAACAACAACAGCAAGAACAGCAAGGATTGCGTGGCCGTGAACAACCACAACAGGAACAGCAAGGATTGGGTTGCCGTGAGCAACCACAACAAGAACAGCCATGATTGCGTGGCCGTGAAAAACCACAACAAGAACAGCAATGATTGTGTGGCCGTGAGCAACCACAACAAGACCAGCAAGGATTGCGTGGCCGTGAAGATCTACAAGTTACGGGACGCCATAGAAGTACAAGTCTCTAGCTAGTAGTGCCAGCAAGATAAATGAATCTACTCTACACTTTTTGAAACAAATCTTTGTCGAACCCGTCCCATCCTCGTTTCCTCGCTCACCCTTGGAACTCTTGAAACATTTTTTCCAATATTGTTGTGTCTTCCTCCTCGTCCTCGCCTTCTGGCGTTTCCCCGAGGGCAATGGCTCCCACTTCCAGTACCAACGCGTCGTCATCGCACATATTTTGGAACCGATACACAATCTTGGCTTCGGCTCCCACGTACAACTCCTTCATTCTGCGTTCCGATTCCGCCAGCATGGTTCGGTAGGCAAGCGCCTCTTCGTGCTTGGCCATGGCCTTTTTGTATTTGTTGGCAATATCCTCCCAATAGTGCTCCTTCTCCATCTGATCCTTGTCCACAGACGTGAGTTGCTTCATGTGCCCCTCGGCGGTTTTGGTCAATTCCTCCATGCGTTGATTCTTGGCGTAGAGCGCCCGGCACTCCTTCTTGAGCTCCTTCTTGTCCTTTCGAATGTCGTGGTTTTGCTTGCGCAAGGTTTCAATGATTTCCTTGGTCTCACGAGCCTCTCGTTCCTTATCGGCCAGCTCGGCGTCCGTGTAATGCACAATCTGGCTCCGTTCTTCTTGCCGGATTTCGTACTGGTACTGCAGCATCTTTTCTTCAATGCGCCGGAGTTTCTTTTGCTCCTTGTTGTGTACCTTTTCCAATTTGTGTTGCAAGAGATCAATGCATTCGCGAACATTCTCCAAATCCTCCAAGACCTTTTCGACTTGTTCGTCCCCATCTGCTCCCTCGGCTTCCAACTCGAGCAATTCCTGTGGCGTGCTGGCATCCTCTGCGGTCGACAATGCGGCTTGTTGAAATTCTCGGCGTGCCGCCTTTCTGGCATCCTCGCGTTCTTGGGCTTTGGCAGCCTTTTCCTTGGCCTTGGCTTCCTTGGCCTTTTTGTGTTCCAGGAGTTTGTTTCTCTTTTCAATTTCCAGCTTGGCTTCGGCCAAGAACCGGGCCTTTTCCTTCTCCTCCCAATCTTCATCCTCCTCCTCCTCGTCTTCTTCTTCTTCTACCGGGTCATGATCTTGCTTGTGCGCTTGATTGGCGGCAATGGCTTTGGCCTGTTCTTTTTGTGCCTTTTGATTGGCTTGTTCCCGTAACTTGGCTTCTTCGCGGGCCAATTTGGCATGCTCCTTTTGCCGTGCATGTTCGAGTTGTTCCTGTTCGGCCCGTTCTCGCGCCTTGGCATCTGCAATGGCAGTTTGCGCCTCGATTTCTTCCTGCCGTGCCCGTTCCGCAGCTTCCTCTGCCTCTTGCTGGTGTCGTTTGCGACGTTCGGCGGCCTTGGTGGCCCGGGCAGCGTGTTTCTGAGCCTTGTCCTCCATTTTGTTGTTGTTGTTGTTGGCCGTCTTTTGCGCTGCTTCCTCTTGCAATTGTTGTGTCTCTTGCTGATCCCACTGTTCTTCGGCGTCGTGACGGAGTTTCTTCATGCGGGCATGTGCTTCTTGTTCGGATCGTAGTTTGGCTTGTTGCAGTTCCTGTTGTTTGAGTTTGGTAGCACTTTCTTGTGATTTGATTGTCTTCTTTTGATGCGTGACTTGAGCCTGTTGTTCTTGGACCTTGTAGCGGTCCATGCGTCGTTCTTGCTTGGTTTTGGAGTTTCTCAAAAAGTTGGGATTGGCCCAAGCAGGACCACTGCTGGCTTCAGTAGTAGTGCTCCTGCTGCTAGTAGTAGAGTAGTTCTTTTGGATTGTAAATGAGGAGGAGGAGGAGGTTGGTGGTGTGTAATGTTTCTTTTTGGAGTGTTTTTTGGGCTTTGGTGGTTCATGCTTCGCTCGTATTTCTTGCAACTCTTGCTCGACTTGCTTGCTCTCCAGTTCCTCTTCTGCCTGTTCTTGACGCTTGAGTTCGGATTGCTTCAGAATCTTTTCGTAAGCTTCATCGGCTTCTTTCTGCTTGTGATCGGCCAGTTTTTGTCGATACCCTTCCATACGCTCTTCGAGAGCGTCTTGTTCCTTTTGAAAGGCATCTTCGGCTTCCAACAAGACGCCGTGTTCCGCATTCAACGTCTTGTCTTCCAGCTTTTTGAGTTTCTTCTTCTCCTTCCGGGCACGACGAGCATCTTTCAACGCTTGTTCCGTCTTTTCGTTGGCCGCATCAATCTTGGCTTGGGTGGCATCGGCTTTGGCCAAACGCTTTTTGCGACGTTCTTCCTTGCGTTTCTCGTAGGCTTCTTCTTTGGCCGTCTTGGCTTGTTTCCGCTTTGCTAGTTTCTCCTTGTAACGAGCCATTCGCTCTTGCACTGTCATTGGTTGTTCTTGGGATGCGTCCACCATGGTGATGTACTATCTACTAGCTAGAGTAGTGCTGTAGTTGCCTCAGTTCAAGTTGGAGCTGACGATGATGATGAGTGAGAATGATGTGAGAAAGGTGCCAGAAAATAGTGGTACCAAAAGTGGATGACCTTGCAAAAGATCCAAAATGACCCAGCTTCCCTGGCTTCATCTTTGCAACAAAAACCTTTTTACTGGCTGGCGGCAGCATACCGGTATCCAAAACGACCTTCAAGCATGCACGTCATCGACACATCAAAGCATCACTCATACATTCGTTCGCTTTCCCCGTTTTTTGCCGTTCTGCTTGGGCCACAGTACAGTACGTACGGTAGAGGCGATTGAGGCTACCAGTTACCGGTACAAGCCAGCAAGGAACCATTCTGCATGGTCGTGGAGTGAGTCTTCCTCCACCCATGCCCACCCGTCTAGATTGCTAATCGTTCGATTATCATGTGTCATTGCATGGGAACTGGTTCATGTTCTGTGACTTTGGCTTCACTTGAATCCTTTCCTTCCGATTGCATGGCGCTGTAAATAGAAAGATTGGCCATAGATATGGTTATGTACGCTCTTATCATTTTCTATCTTCTCTACTATTCTTTTCTTACTTCATGCATCAAATGAATTTTGTCTTTTGTCTTTTGTTCTTTTTGTTTCTCCTATTTCTTTGTTTCTTCAGTTCACCCAGATCTCGGCAGTTCCCAAGTCCTGGGTCACCATCACATCATCTACACAATCCTTGTATTCAGTTTCATCCACCAAAGACTTGCATGCATTCTTGGCAGCTGTCATGGATACCTTTCCCTCAGCAAGACGACGGCGAAGACGTTGTGACTGTTGCTTGCTGACATTAGGCAGTTGGCATTGCTGAGGAGCCTGGGGACCTTCAGCAGCATGGAACAGGTGCACTTCATCCTCCTTCACTTGCCACTCTTGCCCAAAATCATTGACTGGCTCAATCACAGTTGTTCCGTCACGGGCTACGTGAGCTCCATCTGGGAACCGACCCAGGAGACCTGTAGCACCCATGTAGTTTGCTTCAACCTTGTGGTTGATATCCACATTCAAAATGTCATTGTATGTCTTGATGGAAATTACATCCCCATGACCAAGGTAGATGTTCACATTCCTCTTGGCCTTGTTGGTCTGGCGCAGACGAACTCCAAATCCAGATAGCTTGTGGTGATCCACCCATTGGCCCATGTGCAAAGGATCTTTGTTTTGCTGGCCATTGATCCAGAACCAACCAGAGGAGTCATCATCCACAGCTGTGACCTCCAAGACATCATCACCAATCTTCACTGCCACACTCTCAATGGCAGACCACCATGTTGTGATCTTGGTACGAATATGGATGGTCATGCCTTGTCCTTGGTTGAAATCAGGATTGTTCAAGAAAACAAGATCACAGCCTCCATGGTAATCATAGCTTCCTCCTTCCCAGGTGCGAAAATGAGGGTCACCGCGACCAAATGTGGGAGGAGAAGTGGGCAGAGTGCCCTTTTTGGGACCAGTTGGTGGTGTAGTCATTGTTCGAAGCTTGGGAGTTGGGGATGGAGCAGCACTGGGATTTGTACTGGGAGCAGCAGAAGGAGAAGAGGTTGGGGCATTGGTTTTATCTGTGGGAGACTGGCTGGGGGATTTTGAAGGGTTTGAGCTTGGGCTCTGACTTGGGCTACTGCTGGGTTGAGTACTGGGCGACTGCGAAGGGTTTGTGCTTGGCTGGCCGCTAGGAGACTGGGATGGACTGGTGCTTGGGCTCTGACTTGGGCCGCGGCTGGGGACTGCACTGGGGGAAGCTGAAAGAGAACCAGTTGGAGCCTTTGTTTTACCAGTGGGCCCCTTGCTGGGGGATTGAGAAGGACTGGTACTTGGGTTGCTCCTAGGTACGGTACTTGGAGATGCAGAAGGGCTGTTGCTAGGCTGGGCACTGGGGCTCTGGCTTGGGTTTCCACTAGGAGACTGGGAAGGTCTGGCACTTGGGTTCTGGCTGGGACCTCTACTAGGCTGGACACTGGGAGATCCAGAAGGGCTGACACTAGGACTGTTGCTAGGCTGGGCACTAGGGCTCTGGCTTGGGTTTCCACTAGGAGACTGTGAAGCTCTGGCACTTGGGTTCTGGCTGGGGCTGCTACTAGGCTGGGCACTGGGAGATCCAGAAGGGCTGACACTAGGGCTGCTGCTAGGCTGGGCACTGGGGCTCTGGCTTGGGTTTCCACTAGGAGACTGAGAAGGACTGGCACTTGGAGCCTGACTTGGGCCACTACTTGGTTGTGTGCTGTCATCCCAGTCATGATAGCATTTTTCCAGTTGGGCCTTGATGACGGCATTCTTCTTTGGTGACCCATGCTTTTCATGGCAGTGGTTATAACCCTTGTCTTCAAGTTTTACACATGCTTCATATGCTTTTTTGTAACCGGGTTTCTTACCCCACGATTTTTTGAAATGCTTGCAGTTCTTTCGGCTCTTATAGTATTTGCTGTTCTTCGTCGGGCTCTTTGGCTTCTTTCCTTCACCCTTTTTTAGAAAGCGTTGAGGATTGGGGATTTTGTGGTGTAAAATGTGCACTGGTGTGTGAGAGCCTTTAGGCTACAGTATGAAGGTACAATGGTGTGATGAGTTCACAATGAAAAGGTATGTGTTTTCAGCCTGCAATATATCAGAATATCTTACCATGGCTTCACCAAGAGCTGAACTGACCATGGCAAAAGCCACAACCAAGGTGATGATACTCTGCTGAATCTTCATGTTTCGTTTTGTGTTTTTTTTGGAAGTCACTGCTTCTGTTATTTGCTCTTGAGATATGTTGGGCCGGTTTGCTGATTGCTTTCTGTTTCGCTTTAGCTTTAGCTGATGCCTCGAATTGTGAGACAATCCTTCGTTCAAAAACCATCCTTCGGAGTGCTTTGGTTTGGCCCCTGGACCTTCTGTAGCTACCCTAGCTAGTACTGGTAGTGGGCTCCTCCAGTCAAGATCCCAAGCACGTCCGCAGATCCCTGCCAATACGCATCTATTCGAATGAATCAGGGTTTGGGGGTCGACTTGGATCTTTGGATCTCCGTCAGTCCCAGTTGTAGTTACACGCCGGGCGAAAGTGATTCATCATTCCCGAGCTTCGCTTCTTGCATGGTGGCCACCCATGCATCAACGTCTCCTCATCTCGGCTATGGCAACAATGTGAGCTAGTAGCCAGAATGTCCCTATGAAGCTGCTCTTCGGATCAGCACAATGAAGATCCTTGAAGCACGATCAGGGTACAACCAGTCATTAGTGATACAGCATGTTTGTCCTCAGTCAACGCATCGCCTCTTGCTTTGTTTTGCTTGTGTGTGAGCAACATAAAATGCAAAGATAGCAAGAAGCGTTTCGCTTGTTCACAAAAAACGTCACCTTATCTCTTCTTATAGCTATCTTTCATTGCTTTTATCTATTCCACAGCATCTTTCTTGCCTGGTATTCGAAGATATTCACTACGATGTACCCAGCTGTGCAACGCAAACGCTTCTTCTCTTCGTCCACCTCCTCGGACTCTGAAATGAGCCTCCCAAGTGCCGCTACCGCTGGCAAAGAGAGGCTCACCCCAACACGGTCCAAGAGTCTCGAAGACAGGCTCTTTAGCATCAAAACATCCAAGAGGGCCAATCGTCGCTCCATGCCTACCATCGAAACATCACAGCATGATGGCTACAGCATTGACGTCGCACAACCGTATATGGCTCCTCCGTATCGCGCTACAAGTCAGTCGTTGCCCAATCCTGGTACCACCGTGGCATCTGTCACGGGGTGTCTCATTCTGGCTCTGTTGGGCGCACTTGTGTTTCAGAGACAAACCAGTCTTGACCTCCTGTTGGACGTAAAACACGAGATTGCTCATCATTTGCATCAGCTACAGGAACTCCGAGAACTACCCCCCTATACTCAAGGTATAGTGTCAATGCACGGTGATTTGGACTCAGACAAGCAACTGTACTACATGGAACAGCAACGCCTGCGTACAAGGCAAAGCATTCGGCTCCTTTCGAAACGTTTGCTCCGAGAAAAGTAAGTGCGTATCTCGGGCGCCTCTCTCAATCTCGCTGGAGGCTTCATGCTTCTTACACATCAAGTCTCGTTTTACAGATATGGACTCGGCCCCAAATACTACGTGGAGATGCAGCTGGTGTTTGATCCGGAATCCAACGTCTACGACGAAGACGAAGATCATGAACCCTCGATCGTGGTGATTGAAACTGCACGGATAGATCAAATGCCACATTCCGTCTTTCACTTTCTAGAGTTAGTGTCCCACCATGCTTACGATGGCACCATCTTTCATAGAAGGGCAAATCATATTGTTCAGGCAGGGCCCAGTGCAGTACCGTCGGAAGCACGCGTATTCGACCCTAGCCTATCCTCCATCATGTTTCAAGAGTACTCACCCGAAATGGCGCATACACCTTACACGCTTGGTTTCCCTGGACGCCCAGGAGGTCCGGACTTCTATATCAACATCAAGGACAATTCCAAACTGCATGGTCCGGGAGGACAGTCCTGGCATTACGGAGATGTCCTGGACGACGCCGACCCTTGCTTCGGGGCCATTGTGAGAGGGGTCGATGTGATTGACAAGATTCACCAGTCCGAAGTGGATCAATCAGGATACAGGGACACCATTGCGCATCCTATACTGATAAAGAAGATGACTGTTCTTGGCGACAATCTTGACGCCTTGACCAGTTCTAGCCCTTTACGTGGCAGAAGGTAGTAGAGTTAGAAAGATTCGGCTCAGCCACCAGACAGCAAGTCCTTCACGATATCTCCATCCTCCCTCCGAATCGAATCCATCTAGGTTGCTGTCGAGTCTGACGCCGCAGTCACTGGGAAAGGGCGAAAGAAATACAGACTGGATTATACAACCATCTATAGTTGTTCATTACCAACGATGTTGACCTTTGGGCAGAGCCAGGAAGCCTCAAGATTCCAAGCCAACAGATGTACCGGTAGATCTAATTTATGGTAGCAGTGCTTGCTTCATGTGGATCGCCCCGCTCAGGGCTCAAGTGGACGTTGCATCTTCACTGTTTAGATGCATATTTTGACTGGGTGCAACCATTTATGTCTGTGTTACGCGTAAGATGAGGAAATCCATAAATCCTCCTCGGGGTACACACGAAAAGGGTCTTTTTGAAAGTCACAAAGAAGAAGGGGCATTCTGGACGGTGGCTTTCTAGCTAGAAACGCACGCGAAAACTACAAGTAGCCTTTAAAAAAGTACGCGGGAAAATGGCAACAGCAACATCGAGAAGACGGATCTTGCTGGCTGCCTACCAACAGGGGCGCCATGGCTTTACAAACCTCTAGGACGAGATCAGCGCTATACCAATGTTGACACCCCGTTCACCTCCTGTTGGCATTGATCCGACTCGCTAGCTAGGTTGGCTGCTTTTTGTTGGGAGGCGATGTCGTCTCCTAGCTACCGGTAGATCGCTATTCAATGTCTCTGAACACAGCCAGTCGGACAAATCAAACAATGATCTCAGGCAGCCTCGCTAGTGGAGGTTGGTTGCTTCTTCTTGACCCGCCCGCTCTGCTGGAGGCGAGCGAGCTATGCTACTATCAGCAGGCAGACAACAAGCCAACTATCATAATATCCATCCAATTTGTCTGTACCCACCTGCAACGAGAAGCCAATAGTTTCCACCCTTGCTTCTTCCAGTCCTTCTGGCTGCAATCTCCTCGAACAATCGTTTGCTTCAATGGATTCGAAACATCGTAGTACAGTAGTCATCTAGTAGTTTCAGCGGGCTAGGCTCGGGCAGGGCCAACCTGGCAACCGCTGGGTGCGTGCGGTCGTTTGATAACTACTGGAGTCGAGTACTACTACACGCACCATCTAATTATTTCTGTGATGATGACCACCTAGTAGTAGCTAGCTAGGTTGTAGGCTAAAAAGAAGCTGTCGAGAGCGAATTGGATGCGAGCTAATAGTGCCAAGGAAGAGCGCCAATAGTGCCAAGGAAGCAAGAGGCAGGCAATAGGTTGGACCACAAGCCCAGCCAACACTTTCTCGATGGCTTTATGCGTTGCGGGATCCAACAAACCGTCGAGCTTGCCAACATCCTCATCAGGAAGCCAATCCCCTCGGTCATTGAATCTTATCGTAGCAGCCACTTGCTGCTCTAGCTAGCTAGCCAGCAGCTACAGTAGCTAGCCAGCTGGCCAGCTGTGACCAAAGGTGGCAATTTGATGCATCCCAAATAAATCCATTCAACCGAGTTCTAGCTAGCTACTAGTAATCTAGCCAGCATTCATGTGCGCAGTCTCTGTTGAACTGGTGAACTGACACAGGATGACCGGTTGGGTAAGCTTTTGGTGGCTAGTAGCCTGAAAGGAATTAGATGTCGGGTCATGGAGTCTTCCCCCGGTACAGTACTCCGAGTATTTGGATCGATAATGAGTTCTCTGGAGGTCTTTTTGAATTTTGCCAGCTGAGCCAGCTCCTAAAGCTTTCAGAGTACTCCACTACGAGTACTAGTATACGGTATTGAGAGTCGGGACACACTGGTAATGATAGGGCAGCTCCCAACCAATTAGCATTAGGTGGTTGGGCTAGCTAGTAATGACCATGAATCATTCCAAGGAACAATTCTGCAATGCCTGTAAACAGAGGCTGTGTTACTACTAGTCCAGCCACCAGTTTCTACTGGTTGGACGCTACTACTCGTGGAAAATTGGTAGGGCCGGTACTGGCTAGAAGTCTACCCAGCGGTCGTCATTGATGGGGTAGCAATACAGCATTGTTGGTGGTAAGGTATGAAAAAGCTTGGGAGTGAGGGCATTTGTGTTTAACGATTGAGAATTTGGTGCAGGTCACAGGAACGGTCTTTATGCCTCTGTACTTTTTGTTGCCATTGTTTTTGCACCAATAGCTTTCTTCTTGGGCCAACCAACCGAGAGAACCCTTTTGAGTGCCACAAACAATCAACTGCTTTTACTTGGTTGTTGTTGTTGTTTGTCCAAGCACCAAGCAGTACCGTTAGTAGTAGCATTCGCCACTTTTACGAATAGTCAGGCTACCCCTCAAGGTCATTTCCTCGGCTACCCCCACAATCGACCGAGTATACCCTTTCGATTATCAAGCATTACCAAGTATTATCAAGCTAGATAATAATGATGAACACTACGACCATGATGATGCAACGGCAACGCATACGATTCGGTAGCAACGACAGTTCCTCTTCGGATTTGCATCTGCCCTTGACCAACAGCGCTAGCGCTAGTGCTTTGAACGTGGAACGACCCGAGACTCCTCCTCACTCCGGCGGTTATGCCATTGACGTGGCTCGCATGGTTCCTGGAAGAGCATGCTCTTCTTCTATTGTGAGACAACGCAGTGCCCTCTCACTGAGTCCCAACAGCAAGGTCCCTCCCCGCAAAGCCGTTAGTATGTTCTTTACATCATCGACTTGCAACAACTCTTCCTCTTCTACCAGTTCTTCTACGTCTTCCAACGGCAGTGATCACTCGGATACTGGTACCAACGGTAACCACAACAGTAGCTACTCCTCCTATCCCAGTCATCATCATCATCAGCTACCCATTTACGCTACGAATGCCAACTCTGTAAGATCCCTCTCTCCACCGATTGGCAGTCGACGAAGACCTTCTTACTCTTCGAACGGCAGTCACAGTCATTGGAATCATCACAATTGGACGTGTGCCATTGTCTCGGTCATGGGATTGGTCGTCATGGCCGTCTTAGCGGCGAGCAGTTATCAGCACAATGCCAGTCTCACCATGGAATTGACATATCGAGAAACGGAAATTGAAATGCACCTCGATCATGCGCGTAATCTCGAGCATAAAGTCAATGATATGCGATCGGAAACGATTCATTTGCATCATCGCATTGAAGAATTGGAGCATGAAATGAGTCAACCGACGCAAGAAGAACTTTACATTCAACGGCAAGTCTTTCACTTGGAACATGCTCAAGAACAAGTTCGACGGGGAGTGCAAGAAACCGCCAAGCGAATGTTGCAAGAAATGTAAGTACCATACAAACAGTCTAGCTATCTATAGTATGCTACCCCTTTTGGATGGTATCTAACCCACTTTACTTCCCTTATTATCATTACAGATACGGTCCAGGTCCCAAGTACTACATTGAACTGAAACTCCTCTTTCATCCCGATTCCAACATTGTCCAAGATGCCACTACCGAGATTGATACGACCATTGTGCTGGAAACGGCCGATATCCATGACATGCCACATACCGTCTTTTTCTTTCTCGAGCAAGTACGGCATGGCATTTACGATACCACGGCTTTTTTCCGCAATGCTCCTGGCCTTGTGGAAGCCGGGCTGGGACACGATCGCTCGAAATTGGTAGAGTTGGAAAAGTCATCTCCCAGTTTGGCGCATCTACTCTTCACATCGGAACACTCCCGTGAATTGCAGCACACCCAGTACACACTGGGATTCCGGGCCGATGCCGCTGCCACTGACTTTTATGTCAATATGCAAGACAATTCCGAACAACGAGCAACACAAGACGAAGCTCGCACTTCGACGGATGCCCCACAGCAAGATCCCTGTTTTGCCCGCATTGTCCGAGGCTTTAATACTATGGAACGCATTCATCGATCCAATGTGCGCGACGAAGAACTCTCCTTTCGACGAAAACAGTACAGCATGGTACATCAAGTCATGATCGAGTCCATGACCATTCTCCAACACGGATACGATCCCGAACGAGAAGGACATCATCGATCGGTGGGGTCCAGGGCGACCAGCTAAACTAGATTAGCTGTGGATTGATTGCAGTGAACTTCCAGCTTCCCTTCCTTCCAGCTTCCTACTGCAATCTACAGGGGCCTTTTTTGATTATTTCCATGCTGAACAAAGCAACTACCAAAGCCCTCCGGATGCTACCGACGCATCCATTCCTCGACCTACCTGCCTACCTACTATTGCTCTCTACTAGTAAGGGTACATACGAATAGACTACATAATAACGTACTACTCATAATAGCCTACATAAAACGATTATTACCGTACAGGAACCTAAACTACATGGAGTCTACAACAAACAAAGCACCACTCTTTCAGGGACTTTCCACAACGCTCCAAAGTTCGAAATGATGGTCGTAAATTTCGGACCGGGTCATCCTGGGTCTTTAAGGCATCTCAATGACTTTTTCTATTCAATATATTTACATAAGATACTACTAGGTTTCAGTGGTAATCGGGAATGGGAAAGAGCAACAATGACTCGTGCTGCCAACGCTGCGATTGTGGTACCGACCAAGCAAAACATCTGGTACCAACCAGTGTCGTCAGAAGCTAAAGAAAGTAGACTAGCTAGCTAGCTAGTGGAAACTCGAACGGAAGGAAGCTAAAACAGTCTGCCGTTCAATATGCCTGACCACTGGTTGTGAAAAGGAGAGGCGGCATTATTCTACTCAGTGGTTAGAGAGAGGTGTATGCAGTGCCAGTGGCTTGGGTTACCCAAAACACACCGCTCAGGCAAAGCAGTATGAATAGAGAGCCCCGGCCACTTTGGGCGTATTTTTTCTTTCTTTTAAGAACTCATGGTGATGGTATGGCTTAGCATTTCGAATGCAAGGATGTTTACTTCTTCACCGATATGCTGCAACGTCCTTTTCAGGCTGCTACCTAATAACTTGCCAGCTGGATATTAGAATGGTGGATGAGGAGGGCGCTGTTCTTCCTTCGGCCCGTCCTCCTTCCGCATTTTGATTTTAAAAGCTTCGGACTGTCACTCGACTCGCATCCCTATACCTCACCCTACAGTCATCGTATTAATAGCTGTAGCCGCCAACGCTGGTACTAGTGTACTAGTACCGGCAATTACACGTACCGACTAGTAGCAAGCCACTGGAACACTGCTGCTTAAAATTAATTAAAGCCCATTGAACAATATGTCGGTTCATGCCCGTGCCGCACGTGCCTTGTCTTCATTCTTGCATCGAGTGTGACTGGCTGACTCCTGCAGTGTGACTGGCTGGCGATCCGCTCGTCTCCGTCTTTGGACAAGATCACATCCCTTCCTACATTTGCCCTCAACTACCAGCTAGCAAGCTGAGGGCCTTTTGAACTTCATCTTGTGCGTGTGTGTGTGTGTAGGTGTGTGTACGTTGAGTGTTGTGTGAGATGTGTGGTGTTGTGTGAGATGTGTGTAGACACTACTAGGAGTTAATCTACGACGAATCTACCATTGGATGTTTATCCATGGGGTATACCGTTGCTTGCTGATTTCCAAATTCTGAGCTTAGGAATTCGCTGTTTGCTTCATCAGTGGAGCAAGCTGGGGATGGCAAAAGATACAAGCCGGGTAGGCTGTGAGGAAAGCAAGGGTACCCTGTTTGTGGTGATTTCGAAAATAGACACATAGGAGCTGGTACGGTATAGACGAAACCAAGCTAAACTAAACCGTAAATCCAATACCTCGATGGGCTGGATGTGTGTGGGTGTGGGTGTGTGTGTGTAGGTGTGTGTGTGTGTGTGCCATGGCTCCCCGACAGGCCTCTAATCAAAAAGGATGAGACGGGGGAGCCATCTAGTTCTGGAACCTTCCTGTAGGACAGTAGGTTGCCAAGATTGGGGGGCCTGGAGTAGGCTACAATCATCCTATCCAGTCCCATTGGCATGTTGCCTCGCATGGGGCCCACTGTGTGTGGGATCCGGACATGCTTGAAGGGCATCAGGTTGTGGGATTGGCAATGCAATCCCTCCAGCCTTGCTGGAAGACCTTTGATGGGGGATCCTTGGGGGTGGTATTCCAGGTGCAGCAGCTGGATCCCATGGTGTCCCTCTTGTTGTTGTTGGGCTGGGGCCAGTGTAGGCCTTGCCCTGGTGATTGCTGCTTCAAAAAGGGGCCTAAGTGTGGTGGCTTGGTAGCCCCTGGCCAGGAGCCTCGTGAAGAAGAGCTTGGTCCTGGCGAGCCTGTCAGTCTCCTCAGAGCAGAGTGTATAGATCCTAAAGGTTGCCATACACCACTCCAGACAGGAGGCCTGGTGGGTGACAGGAGTGGGATGGGATTAGAGATACAAGTTGGTTGGTTTCTCATACAGTTGGTGACCAGTTTGTTGTCTGTGTGAGGGTGATTGTCAGGTCCATGAAATCCACCTGACTGGAGAGTTAGTGAACTCCCAGTGCAGCTTGTACTCATTGTTGTTCATTGCCTTTTGGAAGCCCTCCACAGGAGCTGGTTGTCTTCCATTCGCAGTGCCATATGCCGAAGACATCATCGATGTATCTCCTGTAGAGCTGCAGAACTGCAAAACTATCCATGAAGGATCGAGCAGAATGGACTCCAGGATGGAAAAGTAGATGGTGGCATAGGGTGGGGCTGGTGGGGGCTCCCATTGCAGTGCCCTTGAGTTGCCGCCATGTGGTGTCACCGAAGTGGAAGAAGCTCACTCCATAATGAGAATCAGTGCCTTGAGGACTGCCTTGGTGGGCAGGTCTGGGAACTGTTCTTGTTTGTCTTTGAGCCACTTTAGATCTTGGTGATGGCTGTCCTCGTGGGAATGTGGGTGTACATTGAGGAAGCATCAGCTGTGAAGAGTTTGCAGGTGGGTGGTAGCTGCAGGGACATGAGCTCCTGTTTGAGATCGAAGGAGCTTTTCAGGTAGGATCTCATTGTTGAGCAACTGGCTGAAGCTTGGAGTCAAGCCAGATGCCCAGCCCCTCCAGCAGGCTGCCACTGTAGGAGACAATGGGCCTGGTTTTGAGGGGTGTTTTGTGGACTTTCATTGTCAAGTAGAATTAAGCAATGGTTCCTCATCCTTCTTCATCATAGCTTTGAGGAATTTTCTCTCCTTGTCAGTGCAGGCAGTGCTGCATAGTTCTTGAGCCACTTCAGGAGACGCTGTTTCACTTTTTCTTTGTAGTGTCAACCTTGTGGGGTGGGATGAATTCATAGGTGTTTTCATCATCAAGGTGGTCGCGGAATGCATGTTCAATGTAGGCATGAGCGTTCAATTGTCGCTGGGCCAGTTTCTTGTCACATTGGACGCCCATAAGGGCATTGTTGCGTCTGAGTTGGCAGAGGGCACGCCGCTGGTGGGGCAGAAGGTTGGCTCTGCCTCTCTTTTTCCGGCTGAATTTGTCTGGAGGAAGCTGCTGAAGCGCTGAAGGCGCTGGTCTATGACTGGGGTGGGACCATATGGGCTGGTGGGAGCCAGTCAGATTGCAGATGCATTCGTGGATGTATTCATCACTGCTATTGTTGTTGTCTGTGTTGTCCTCCTGAATGTGGCCAATACAGAAGGTTTCACCCTCAGGTCCCTGGAGAACCTGGTGAGGGTTTTTGATTCGATGTCATTCCAGTGTGGGAGTATCTAGGTGAGGAATGAACTTGTGGCCCAGGCCCAACAGTGGGTAGAGGCCTGGTGGGGGCTTAATTGTCGTGGTAAGGTCGTGGTATGCAAGGTTGGTTGCCTGGCAAAGTAGTACCAGGCCGGCTATGAAGGAGTCTAGTTTTTACATTGTCGTGTAGATGGAGGTCGGGGGCTGAGACGAAGCCATATGTGAGCTCTATCTCTTTGTCGATCGCCTGGAGGACATGCTTCTCCTGGTGTTGGAGTTCTGCCTCCTGCTGGGAGAGGAGCTTCTGGAGCGGCTCTGTTCGATCTTGTGGAGCCTCTGGAGGTAGCGTTGCTCTTCCTCCGGCTCTCCTCCCCTTCCTCGTCCTGCCTGCCGCCGCGGC